CAGCGGAGCCCGTTGCCTTGGCGACCGGAGCTACTTATCCCCGCGGCTCGCGCTACGGCGGCTCGGAGGGGACCAGGGGGCTTCGCCGGTCCTTCCGCGGCGGGGAGGGGGACAGCGGGTGGGCGTCGGGCCCCAGAGCGCGAGGATCCGGCGTGGGGTCCGGCTTGCTGGGATTTGGCCCCCAGGGAAGAGAGAGGAAGGGAATGCTGGGGGAGGGGGCAGCGAGGCCGGGGGAGGACTGGAGCCTCCGACCTGCCTGTGCCTCAGTTTCTCTCCCTGTAACCTGTGGTGCAGGCCATCAGGGAAGAGGGCCGGCCGCAGGTGGAAGCTTCTCGCACTGGGAATAAAGACAGGAAACCTGACTTGGGCGGGGTGGCAGGTGCCTTTTTTTTTTTTTTTTTAAATCTCCGAAGCGGTGCTGTGGCGAATAATAAGCCTGTTTCTTTGGGCTCAAGGTGAGAATTAGGTTACCACATTTAATTTCAATACTGGAAATAATTTAATCTGTGACCAGCGATTGTACTTATTGGAATTAGCATGCAGATACACTGGAACACGAATCCAAAGGATAATCATTGCTCCATTGTTTGTAACAGTATCTAGACCAGCCCTGACCGGTTTGGTTCAGTGGATAGAGCGTCGGCCTGCGGACTGAAGGGTCCCAGGTTCAATTCCAGTCAAGGGCATGTACCTTGGTTGCGGGCACATCCCCAGTGGGGGGTATGCAGTAGGCAGCTGATCGATGTTTCTAACTCCCTATCCCTCTCCCTCTCTGTAAAAAATCAATAAAATATATATATATTTTAAAAAAAGTATCAAGACCAGTCTTAAGGCCCATGAGTAGGGGATTGAGTAAATAAATTATGGTGCATCCATAAAAAAGCTTACTATAGCAAGAGAGAGACCCAGGAAGATAAAGATGTAGATACAATTTAGATGTAGACTTGTGAAAGGGGGTGATGGATCACACATATATATATATATATAATGCTGGCATATGCACATATGAACTGTGGAAAGAGATCTGGGAGATGGGGGGGTGGTTTAAAATAATGCATTTTCACTGTATGTTCTTTTAAAAATATATATTTTATTGATTTTAAAGAGGAAGGGAGAGGGGAAGAGAGAAATATCAATGATGAGAGAGAATCATTGATTGGCTGCCTCCTGCAGGCTCCCTACTGGGGATGGAGCCAGGCATGTGCCCTTGACTGGGATGGAACTTGGGACCCCTTCAGTCCGCAGACTGATGCTGAAAGAATAAAAGAATGTTACAAACTGCACAGGCCCAGCTGCCAGGCCTAGCTGCCCGTTTTATCTCAACTCCCTAGGCTTCCCCCACTAGAGATAGGAACAGAGAGAATGACGCCCTCCCTAAGGCTGTTTCAGGAGATAGCCCCAACAAAGGGCAGGCTGAGTAAACCGGGCTTCAATCAACCTTGAGATAAACAGGTTGTGAAAACACGAGGCAGGAATGCCCTATCAAGACACGAACCAGACCCCTTTGGAATCTCTTTGTTCTCCTCTCCCCCTCCTGCATGCCACTCCCCTCCCTGATGTGTGATCTTTGCATATAAATAGCTGAAAGACCGCTTGCTGGGGGCCCAACTCCTCTACTCCTGCTTGCTGGGGGCCCAACTCCTCTACTCCTGCGTGAGTGAGTATGGGTTGAGCCCCAGCGCGCTGGAATAAAGCCTCATGCCGTTTGCATCAAGTGGCGTCTCCTGCGGTTGATTGGGGTCGCCGTCGGTCAGTGGGACAGAGTGAGGGTATCCACTGAGCCAAGCCAGCTAGAGCTTTAATGTAGTATTTTCAAAAACCAAGCACATGTATTACCTTTTCAAACAATATATAGGAATGTAGGAGATCCGAATGTGCCACCCCCAAAATATGCCACTTTCTAAGGATTATTTTGAGCTGAAGGCAATTGAGAAATAGACCCAGACTCTCTGCCCTCACCCAATAAATTTCCCTTATTAAGTTCCCCCCCTGCCCCCACTCCCCAGGGAAGGCAGAAAATAATCATAGGAGACAATTCTAGACTCTTATCCAACCGTGGGCAAACTACGGCCCATGGGCCGGATCCGGCCCGTTTGAAATGAATAAAACTAAAAAAAAAAAAAAAAAAAAGACCGTACCCTTTTATGTAATGATGTTTACTTTGAATTTATATTAGTTCACACAAACACTCCATCCATGCTTTTGTTCCGGCCCTCCGGTCCAGTTTAAGAACCCATTGTGACCCTCGAGTCAAAAAGTTTGCCCACCCCTGCTCTTATCAGTGAGAGGAAATCTACATAACAAATCTTGCTAAAAAAAATCTTTATCTTCCATTAATTTCTGCCACTATCTACCTTCCCACAGCATGCCCCCTAAAAAGCCTAAACCCCTTTCCATTGTCTTACCACTTCTCTACAAATTTGAAGTTTACCAGCCTTGATCAATTGGTATAGAAGCCTCCATGCTTGGCCAGTCACTGAACCTAACAGGAGAAGACAACCTTTCCTCTCCTACAGGCGACAAAAAAACACATCGAGTTTTGACAATCAACAGGTAAATATGGGAGGGGCTGTTTGGGTGGCAGTGAGCCCCCCACCTTAGATGAGATGTTGCTGAGGTGGAAAATAGGAGTAGAGGATCTCAAAGATGTGCTTTCCTCCGACTTTGCCACCTAGAGGAGGCACACTGAGCCACTTGGGGTTAAAAACACAGAGATGGGCAGGATACCACATTTGGGAGGACTCATGCTTGCAGGTCAGAAAATGAAAAGCTCTTCAGCTGCTGGCTTGACCCAGTGTTCCCGACATCAACAGTGCTCACAGAATGTAAACAAGTATCAGACAAGGCCACTGCTTATTTGGAACAAGGCAGACACACAATGATTCAACAACTTCCTCTTCTAACATGAGTGGGTCCTGCTTTATTTTTTCTTCTCTTTTTCTTTTTCAATGACAATTCTGGCCCTGCTTTACTTAATCTTCTTACCTCCAGGATAAAAATTAAGATGCCTAATCATCAAATTGTCCCTGCTTCCTGACTGTGTCCAATTCAAAACAATTCCCCACTTCCTTAAACCACCCGTAGAGTATCCAAATCCTAACATAAACTCTTTCCAAGTCCCTCTTATCAAGATTCCTCACGGTTTCCCTGGTGTGTGTTCTCCCTTAAAGAACAAGCTGAATAAATAAATCTTTTTGATAACAGCGTTTTAAGAGCTACCTGGAAGGTTCAGTGGTCCTGAAGCAGCCCGCCCTGGGCAGGTGTTTGGGGGGAGGGGAGGAGTTAGGCTAAGGCAGGAAGTAGGAAAGCTTGAGCAATTCTTCATCTGCCATAAACCAACCCTTCCTGTGGCCTTCGGCAAACCATTTCACTTTGAGCCTTTTTCCATTTCAGTAAAAGAAGAGATCTGACTATATTTCTAAGGTGTCTTCCAATCTAAATATAGAATTCCAAGCTCTATGGTTTTTGTATTCTCAGGTAAATGTTCCCCCTACATGAGGCATTTGTACAACATGGTCATCATTGGCAAGTCTACATACCACCTACACTGTTATGTATTTAAATAAATCACTTTCAAGTTTTCTTTCTTTAAATAGAATCTCAATTTTTTTTTTGCTGACATCTACAAAAGAAATTTTACCTCATTGCTTAAATGGAAAACTAGCTTTGGTTGGTAGAAATGGAAGTTTTTTGCAAACACACACACACACACAAACCCTGAAATAAAAGTTATTTAACTGTAGATGTGGTTATCTGTGGAGAGATGTGGAAAATGAAGCCTTCATTCTGTTAAAAAGGGAGATAAGCAAGTGTTAGAAAAATGTTAAATACATACTAGTCTCAAACAAACTTTTTCTATGGTTTGAAACAGGACTTTTTCACTGTGCCTTCCAATGATATACAGAGCCCACATTTTAGGAAACAATGTTCATTTTTCCCTGATAAAGTTGACTCATCTTTCAGTTCTCAGATTAAATTCCTCAGAACAACCTCCCAGGCCTCCCCCACCCCCTCCTTCCCCCACAACTAAATTGCTTTCCCTGTACCTAGTGGGCATTAAATTTTTATTGAAAGAATATTCCCTTAGGCTACTTCTTCATAGTACTGATCACAATACCGTATGTTATGGTGCATTTATGTTGTCAGTCTCTTCTTAACTAGGCCATAAATTCTGGTTACACTTTGTAACGGGACAACCAAGGGGTCTGGGCAGCCTGTCACTACTTCAGCCAATTAAGCAGAGACAGGGTTGAATCATATATGAGCGTTTATTCCAATAATGCCAGCAGTATGGGAGAGCAGTAGGTCATCCACAAAAATCTGCTCTGCACCCCACCATAAGGCAACTGCTTACATTGGGTAGAAGGACAAGATTACGTGGAGGAGTAGGAATTACAGGTATGGGAAAATGAGCACGGGACAATCATTACAGATTACAAGTCATGTAGGATGGGGGGAGGGGGGAGGGGCAGAGTTACAGAAAGCGGCGCCAGCCAGATTACAGGTAGTAGGGGCGGGGGGTTGTAAAGAGCAGGTGCCTCCAGGACTAGGTGCCCCGAGGTTGTAAATCTTTCCACAATGATAGGCAGCTCTCCGAAGGAGGACAGACTGCATTCCGATGTTAGCTCCCATGTCCCAAGGGCGTACAATTCTCAGCGAGGTTAGACTGTGCTTTGTCTAATCAGAAAAGAATCACGGTTAACAGAGCATGATTAATATTTCTTATAATTATAGTCAATTTCTAATAGTCTATTTCTGCCCCTAACAACTTCAGTATCCCAGATGTTGACACATAATGGGCTCCCAGGGAATACAAATGAGGTGAAGAAATCAAGCCTCCACAATCCTAAAGCGCTGGCAGGTTTAGCCCCGCCTCCTTCCTCGGTTGGCGAGGATTTAGCCCCGCCTTCTTTCTCTACCAATGACAGGTGCCTCCTGAGCCGCGGCCGAGGGCGGTGGGCGGGGCCACGCAATGACGGTGGGCGGGGCCACGCAATGACGCTGGCCGCGCGTTTCCGGCTTGAGAAACCTTGGTGTTTCTGAGGAGACACCTCAACTGGCAGTAACCGCGCGCAGCGAGAAGCCTCCGGATCCGCCGCTTCCATTTTCGGCGTCACCATGGGAGCTGTGCTGGGCGTCTGCTCCCTGGCCAGCTGGGTGAGTTCCTGGGCTAGTGTCTCGGTCTGACCTGTGGTTTGGACGAGGGGGGGCGATAGTGAGCCCCGAGATCAGACCCGAACGGGCCTCGGCTGCAGACTCCCGGGAATTGGAGGGACCGGCCCTGAGCTGCGGAGAGTATCCAAGGGTCCAGGCCAAAATCCGCGATCGGGAGCAGACGGCTCGCTTTCCGCGTTTGATGAGCGCAGGAGGCCAGGCCGCCATTGTTTACAGTTTCCGTTGCCCCGCCCCCAGGAGCCTTCTGGCCTCTGGGTTCAGCCGCCGCTGGAATAGGACCGAGGAATGAGCTCCCAAAGCAGGAGCTCTCGGGTTCATTTCGAAGCACCTTCTTAAGGTGGCGCCATTTAATTTGCGTGGTTTGAATCCTATTTTTATCCTGTAGCGCGGAATTTGCCAAAGCTACAGAGTGTGTGGCAGAGCTGTGGGTTTAACCGAGGCCTGTGCAGTTCTGGTGCAAGAGGAAGAAGGCCTTGTAGATTATTCAAAATTGGAAGCCACCGTCTGAACTTTGGGGACCTTGTGTAAGTCCCGTAAGACGAGGATAATAACTCCAGCATCTTCCGTCTGGAATGCTGTTGTGGGATACAGTTGAATCATTTTGTAGATTGTAAACTCCATGTTTTAAAAAGGGAATTTTAGGACCTATAGAACAGAATATGCGGAGTTCCCTCGTATACTCACTTCAGAGGACGGTCTGGGCTCATTCCACTACCATTTCTTAGGGCCACCTCCGCTCCCTCTCCCTCCCGTCCCCATGTTGAGCGTGGACCTATGAACCAGATCACCTTTTGATACCGGGTTGCGGGTTCGATCCCCAGGAGGCAGTGATGATTCTCTCTCTCACTCCCTCCCCCTTCCTCTCTGAAATAAATAAAAATATATTTTTAAAAAGATTGTGGATCTTAAAAAGGGTAGGTTCCTTGAGAGCAGTGGCTTTCCAAGTTATTTTTATTTTGACCCAAAGTAAATAAATTTTACATAGTTGAGTTAATACATCCATGTAGGCACAAGTTTCATGAAATCTTACCTTTACCATCTGCTGTACAATTTTTCTACCACATTAAAAAAAAATTCTGGTCAGTTGATTTTTATAATCCACAAGTGGGTTAAACTCACTATTTATAAAATAGGGGAGTAAAAACTTTTCTTCCACCCTTGGTTGGTAGGTAGGGACCTGTGACAAAAGACAGATTAGCAAGAGAAAGAGTTTATCTATGCTTGCAAAACCCACATTTACACACAGTTGCTCAGCGATGAACTCAAATTACTGGGTCTTATGGTAATTCTATGTTTAACTTTTTGAGGAATCTCCAGGTTACTATTTATTTATTTATGTATTTATTTATTTTTATTGATTTTAGAGAGAGGAAGGAAGGGAGAGAGAGAAAAAAAACATCGATATGAGAGAGAAACATCTATCAGTTGCCTCCCATATGCAAACTGACTGGGAATTGAACCCACTAACTTTTGGTGTTCTGGAGGACACTCCAACCAACTGAGCCACACTGGCCAGGTCTCCAGGTTACTCTTGAATAGAGCATAATGGCTCTTGCTATCATCTATAATAATAAAAGTGAAATATGCTGATTTGACTGGATGTCCTTCCCCATGAAGTCAGGCTGCAAGGGAAGCCGTCCCGGGTGCCAGAGGGAAGCCGGTGCCGGCAGGCGGGGGAAGGAAGGCCTACTCTTGCATGAATTTCGTGCATTGGGCCTCTAGTTATTTATAAGGGTTTCCATGTAATGTTGCTTGTAATATCAGATTTGGTAACGAGGGTTCTTGGTAAATAGCAAGTGCAGTTAGGTGTATATTTTTCTCATTAAGATATGTTGTTTTTAAAGATAATATGACACCTGTGTGAATATAAGTAAAATTTATTGGGCGCTTACTATGTTTTAGGTACTGTGTTGAGTGCTTATTTAATACAGTAATGTCTGAGGGAGGAAGATTCTGTTAGAGTCTATGTTACAGATGGAGAAAAAGGTTTGCTGAGATAAAGTGGCAGAAATAACATTGACTCCAGAGCCCATACTTTTCACCACTTCCTCCCAGTTGTAATTCTCTGTTAGAACTGTCAAAGTCTGGCTTGCTTCGTTTTCTATTCTGCGATACCTATGTCAGGAAGGAGTCCACTGAAAGCTCTCAGATGGCCATATGTGCTTATTACAGGTTCCATGCCTTTGTGGTGGCGCATCGTGTTTGCTATGCGGTTGCTGTCCCAACAGTAAGAATTCCACTGTGACTCGCCTCATTTATGCTTCTATTCTCATCCTGGGCACTGTTGTATCCTGCATCATGCAAACGGAAGGGGTAAAAAATCAGCTGAAGAAGGTTAGTAGAAGTAACAGAACCCTTAACGTACTGATTATTTTTATATTCTGCAAAATTTTAGTTGACATTAATATTCTTACTTATTTCTTCACTTACGAAAGTCAGTGAAATTCATTGTAATTTGGGATATAGTCAAGATACAGAATATGAAGGGATTAGTCCTTTCCCAGAAATAAAGGAAGTTTAAGTGAACATCTTCAGGTTTTAGTCTAACAACCGAGAGAGACAACAGATATTAAAAGGGTGGCCCTAAAACTTAAACATTTAAACTGATCCAGGCCTTTGAAAGGAGTGAGTTGTAGCATGAAGATTCCTGGGATAATGGGAGATAAGCTCATCAGTAGAGAAGCGCAAAGAAGAGAGCATTTCACTTTTATTTCCGAAATGCAAGTTGTTTATACTCTGGTGGCAAGGTTGTAAATGATTGGAAGACATGGAGAACAATCCCACAGGATGGTCTTGGAGTTGTTGAAGTAGTCAGTTTCTTAAATCCAAACTTTCCTATGGTGGGGTAGAATCTGTTTAAATGTGGGTGTTCCCGTAACATTGACATTATTTTTTCCAGATTCCTGGATTCTGTGAAGGGGGATTTAAAATCAAGGTGGCCGATATAAAGGCTGATACAGATTGTAATGTGCAGGTCGGTTTCAAAGCTGTATATCGGATCAGCTTTGCCTTGGCCATCTTTTTCTTTGCCTTTTATCTACTCATGTTAAAAGTAAAAACAAGTAAAGATCCCAGAGCAGCAATACACAATGGGTATGTAAGATTTATTTATTATTACTTTGTTACATTATGGTGTGGACCTTCACATTCAGCAGTTAATGTTGCCATTCTGATGGGAGCAGTAGAGTATGTAAATCAGTGGCCCAGATGTGTGTCTGACCTATTGTACATGTGAAATTGTTTCAGTGTCATTTTCAATTGGAGACCTGTAGCATTGGAGGAGGTAGAGGGGATGAGGAGAGTCTTATCTTTTTTTTCTTTTTTAAATAAGTTTTTATTGATTTTAGAGATGGGAAGGGAGAGAGGAAGAGAGAGAGAATCATTGATCGGCTGCCTTTCTGCAGGCCCCTTACTGAGGATTGAATCTGCAAGCCCAGCATGTGCCCTGACCAGGAATCAAACTGACCTCCTGGTTGATGGGTTGGTGCTCAACCATTGAGCCACACCGGCTGGCTTATCTTTTTTTTTTTTTAATTAAATCTTTATTGTTGAAGTATTACATGTGTCTCCCTTCCCCCCATTGATTGACTCCTTCTGTCCTCTGCCCCAGGCCTATTGTTTCAAGTTTCTAGATTTTATTGAACACCTGTGAAATAGTTCAAGCACTGTGCTAGGTACCACATAAACAAAGATATTTATTTATTTTCCTTCCTATTGTTAAAAGATAAGATGTGCATGTTATATTTAAACTAGAGGCCCAGTGCACGGAATTCATGCACTAGTAGGGTCCCTAGTGGCTGCTGACCAGGTACTCCCTCCCTTCCCCCCGGCCGCCTGCCGCCTGCCACCACCTGCTGAGGCCTCCCTCCCTTCCCCCGGCCAGCCAGGCGCCCCCTGGTCAAACTCCCGGAAGAACTCTGGTCAGGGGACAATTTGCATACTATGCTTTTATTATATAGGATAGTATTCAGAAAGATAAACAGTGGATATATTTGAGCTACTGATTTACTTACTCTGTTTCTTTCTATTCCTGGCCCCTAGTTCCCCTAATTCTCGTTTGAAGAGTAAAGGGAGTTTTGTAAACTTTATAAGTAAATTATCTCCTTTTTATAGATGCAATAACTAAATTTGAGAGAGGTTATATAAATTGCTTGAGATCTCAGCCAATGAGGTTGGAGCTGAGATTGAAACTCAGGTCTGTCCAGCTCCAAAGCCTGATTCTTTCCACTCTGCCATACAAGGAGTCTTTAAAGATCATGGACTAAAAGCCAGGTTTGGTCTTGGCTTTGCCAGTGATGAACTGTGTAATTGTGAGCAAGGCCCTTATATCCTATGTTGTAAAAGAAGGATTGGGAAATAACTTTTCCCCACACCTAATAGTTAATTGCCCTATATTTAGCTAACATTGTTTATCTAGAACACTTCAGAATTCTAGAAAAAGTCCTATCTTTAAGTGCTAAAAGTAGGGAAACTAAGGATACATGTTCCTCTTAATGTGAATGATCTGTTCCCTGTGCTGTTTATTCTTAAATTGTGTGAAGTACTGAATGAAGTAGCCTCATATCAAGTGAAGATCTAAGTCAAGTCATGTTGGAAATGCTACTAAGGCTTTATTTTTGCATTTTAGAAATTCATTTTCTCACTATTAGGGTGAAAATTAGTATTTCATAAATGCCTTTTTAAATATTTTAACAGGTTTTGGTTCTTCAAAATTGCTGCCATTGTTGGTATCATGGTTGGATCTTTCTACATTCCTGGGGGTTATTTCACCACAGGTATGGCTCACTATTTAATTATAATATATACAGACTCTATATGATTAAGTTAAAACTATGTTTTCAGTATTGATTTTGCAGAACTGACAAAGGAGGTGGTGTCCAATTATTTGACTTGGTACTAATATTAAGATATTAAGGCATTCAGGTCACTTCTCAGCTGTTCGGGAACCATATGCTAATTGTTTGTCAATATTTTAACAGTCTATCTTCTTACTTGACAATACTCAGTTTATCAGAGAGCTTGTCACCATAAGGACTTATAACTCATGTGCTCTACCACCCCTGTCTTAGCCTCCTTCCTTAGCCTGCTACTCTGGCATTGAGTGACATGTGGATTTCCACTATGATTTTTTCCTCCCTGTAAAGGGAAAAGGCTTATAGTAGCATTTGGAATGTTAGATCCTAGGCTCCCTTTGGCCCAAGATAAAACAAGTTTTAAAAGATCTGAAGCCCATAGAACACTTCTCAGACAATGCCTTTGATTTTGGAATTGGAGTAATCTTGCTGAACTGTTGGACACAGAATATGTTTTTACCACCTATCTCTTACTTGAATTGAAATCTTTTTAGAATGTTAGCAACATTGTGAAATGTTACTTGTATGGTAAAGAATAACTTTGTTCTTTTGACTTGTAGTCTGGTTTGTTATTGGCATGCTTGGGGCCTTTATCTTCATTCTTATCCAGCTGGTGCTGTTGGTAGACATGGCTCACTCTATAAATGAATCATGTGTAAATCGAATGGAAGAAGGAAACCCAAGGTGCTGGTATGCTGGTAAGTATCTAACTCAACTATGAGAGACACACTGCATTATGCTACATAAAACAGGGCGAACAAGAAAAACATCCATTGATTGATTGATTGATTGATTGATTGATTTTTTTTTTAAATATATATTTTATTGATATTTTTACAGAGAGGAGGGGAGAGGGATAGAGAGTTAGAAACATCAATGAGAGAGAAACATCGATCAGCTGCCTCTTGCACGCCCCCTACTGGGGATGTGCCCGCAACCAAGGTACATGCCCTTGACCGGAATCGAACCTGGGACCCTTGAGTCCTCAGGCCGATGCTCTATCCGCTGAGCCAAACCGGTTAGGGCCCATTGATTTAAATGTACAAACTTTCAGGGTCGAGCTGACTTAAAAACTATACTTTCCCCTTGAGTTAATTCTGAATTATATGCATTACTGGAAGGGAGTAGCACAGATAATATAAATCATTGGATTCCCCCCCAATTCATTTATTTTGAGATTTGTAATGTAACTACATGCATTTATATAAGGGGGGAATTGTTTACCTGGACAAGGGGACTCAGATGCATTCTTCATATGGGACATCTGCCAACATAGGCAGAAGAAAGTGAACAGTACTTACTGCTTTATTCAGAGTATGACCCCACACCTCTTGTAAAATCCTTTTGGTGAAAAAGGGTACTTAAAATTTTTAAGTTGGGAACATAATTTATAGCCTGTAAATAATGGGGAGGGACTTTGGAACCCTTCACTTATTAGGAACAATGACCCAGCTGTATTTTAGTTTTAAAAATAATGGTTGAGATTGCTTGCCCTGACTTCACCTCACCCCTCCCCCCCCCAATTATAAAATAACTAGAGGCCCGGTGCACAAAAATTTGTGCACTCGGGGGGGATGGGGGGGTCCCTCAGCCCGGCCTGTGCCCTCTCGCAGTCTGGGACCCCTTGGGAGATAACGACCTGCTGGCTTAGGCCTGCTCCCGGGTGGCAGAGGGCAGGCCCAATCCCTAGGTGCAGCCCCTGGTTGGGCTCAGAGCAGGGCTGATTGGGGAGTTGGGGTGCCGCCCCCTGTCACACTCAAGGCAGAGTCGATGGGGAGGTTGTGGCGCCACCCCCTGTCACGCACAGAGCAGGGCCGATCAGGGGGTTGGGGAGCTCCCCCCTGTCACGCACAGAGCAGGGCCCATCAGGGAGTTGGGGAGCCCCCCCGTCACTCACAGAGTAGGGCCAATAGGGGAGTTGGCACACTGCCCCCTGTCACACACAGAGCAGGGCGGATCAGGGCGTTGGGGCGCTGCCCTCTATCACCCACAGAGCAGGGCCGATCAGGGGGTTGGGGCGCCACGCCACCACTGTCACACTCAGGGCAGGGCCAATGGGGAGATTATGGCTCTACCCCATCACACACAGAGCAGGGCCCGTGTGTGTGTGTGTGGGGGGGGGTTGGGGTGCTACCCTCTATCACCCACAGAGCAGGGCCGATCAGGGGGTTGGGGCGCCTTCACCTGTCACGAACAGAGCAGGGCTGATAGGGAGGTTGTGGCCCTGCCCCCTGTCACACACAGAGCTGCAGGGCGATCAGGGGGTTTGGGCGCTGCCCCCTGTCACGCTGATCCCGGTGCTGGGAGGCATATTACCCTTTTACTATATAGAATAGAGGCCTGGTGCACGGGTGGGGGCCGGCTGGTTTGCCCTGAAGGGTGTCCTGGATCAGGGTGGGGGTCCCCACTGGGGTGCCTGACCAGCCTGGATGAGGGGATGATGGCTGTTTGCAGCTGGTCACACACCCTTCAGGGTGGGGGTCCCCACTGGGGTGCCTGGCCAGTCTGGGTGAGGGGCTGAGGGCTGTTTTCAGGCTGGGACTGAAGCTCCCAACTGCTCCTTTTTTTCATTTTCTTTTTTTATTCTGGGCCAGCTTTAGCTCTGAGGCTCCAGCTCTTAGGCCTCCGCTCCTGAAAGCAGGTATCTGGTTTGTTTCAGTTCTCGAAACTCTGTATCAACTCCAGCTCTGAGATCCCAGCCAGCTGAAAGCTGGTTTGTGGGGTTTTGTTTAGTCTATATTTGTTACAGTGTTTGAAACTGCAGGCTCAGAGGCCTGCAGCGGCCGGCAGGGAACGTTGGTTTCCTCCGTCACTGAAGCAAGCAAGCAAGCCTCATGTTAGTTTCAAGCTACCTGGCTGCCGGTCACCATCTTGGCTGACAGTTAATTTGCATATTGCCCTGATTAGCCAATGGGAAGGGTAGCGGTCGTACGCCAATTACCATGTTTCTCTTTTATTAGTGTAGATAGATTCTGTGTTTCAAGAACTTGAAAATCGAAAATTACCCAAAATCTAAGTCCCCAGTAATTATTACTCACTGTTAACATATTAGTCTACATGTATATCTCCTATGTATAGGAAAAAGTCATTGAAAAATGTATAATATGTTTGTGTCTTATTTATTTTTTAAATGTAATATATTTTCAAATAGTTTATAGTTTGACCATTTTAAAAACTTAGAAATAAGCTTGTTGTGAATGACCCATGTCCCACGTGGTTCAGGGTTTGGGATCTGGAAAAAGGGCCACACACAAATGAAAAAGACGAGATAAGAAATGATAATTTGGAAATTGGAGGGCCAGGTGAGAGCCCAATGCAAGAAGATGGACTCTGCCTCTGCTCAGGCCTTGCCATCCTTTTATTCAGTTTGGGATCCACCTATAGCCCTTAGGCCGGCAAGTTCCAGTAACAGACAGACTATCTTATCAGTAAGGATTTACATGACTATCTGGTGGGGAAGTTGCTTCAGCTACCATTGTCTCCACTAAACAGTGGGTGCAGAGCTCTGACTTTTGCCAGGGCTCAAGGGTCATCAGCATTCTGGGCTCCTTGTCCACGCCTCTCTGCTAGTGAAGATAATAGGTGGTTTCCCACAGCTTGTGAATAAGTTTGGCTACAGTACAGAAATAAATACCTAATAACATATTTCTGAGTACATTTCTGATTATTTCCTTAGAATAAATTCCCAGAAGTAGAAGAGTGAAAGGGTATGGATATTTTTAGCACATGCTATCAAATTGTTTAGTTTTCTTTTCATCTTATATAGTTAGGATGCTTCTTTTTAAATTGAAAAAAATAGTACCATTTTTACTATAAACACAAATGGTAGAATTTTATAAAGAATAAAACATGCAACTCTACCAACTTGCAACAACCCACTTTCCTCTCCAGATGTAACCACTGGAAGGTAGTAGCACAGATAATATAAACAGCACCAACTGGATAAGAATGAATTCAGTTATGTTTAAATGTAAATAGGTTTATACTATACATTGTTCTATGACTTACTCTTTTTTTTTTAATTTTGGTAACCTTTAATACAGAAAGTTTCTCTTTTTATTTTTTAAATATATTTATTGATTTCAGAGAGGAAGGGAGAGTGAGAGAGATATAGAAACATCAATAATGAAAGAGAATCATTGATCGGCTGCCTCCTGCACATCCGCTACTGGGGACTGAGCCTGCAACCCAGGCATGTGCCCTTGGGCGGAATCAACCGGGGACCCTTTAGTCCGCAGGCCGACATTCTATCCACTGAACCAAACTGACTAGGGCTGCTCTTTTCACTTACTGTATGATGAATATTCTTTCCTATCAGTGAACATAGGTATGTCTTACTCATTTAACAGTTGCATGGTATTCCAATCCATACAATTCCTGATGTTCCATGGCATGGTAAACCATAATTCATTTAACCATTGCCCTGTTATTGGTCACTTAATCTGTAATGTCTATATTGCAGAAAAATATTTTTTTAAATTGTCTATCATTATGGATTGGGAATCCTGAAACTTTTCCTTCTTCCTGACTAATAAAATTTCTTTCTTTCTTTTTTATCTTTCTTTTTTTTCTTTTTTTTTAACCTATTTACTTCTGTTTTGTATAATTCATTTTGGATCACTCCAACTATAGGAGAGTTTAATAATGAATTGTAGATTTGCCCTACTTTGGAGAAACTAAAAGTAGAGAAATCTTGTATGTTCAGATAGAAAAGCATTAAGAACTCTGCTAGTAACCTAATGTATATCATTATTTTATAGTAACACTAGAGGCCCAGTGTACGAAATTCGTGCACTTGGGGATGGGGGGTGTCCCTTAGCCCTACCTGTGCCCTCTCATAGTCCAGGAGCCCTGCGATCAATTGCCCCAAAGAGGTAGGCCCCACCTACCCAGCCAGGGCTTCGAGATGGATTGCCCCACCGAGGGAGGCCCCGCCCACCCGCCACAGCCCACTGGTCGGTGGCCTGGGCCTCCCTCTTTGGGGCAATCATGGAGTCCCCCCGACTGATCGATCATCCCGCTGATGTGGTCATATTGTGATAGGAAACAGGTTTATGTAGCCAGCGGCTACAGAGGAAAAACGACCACAAAAGATGCCTGTCTGTTCTGTTTAGTGCTAACACCATCCCTAGCACTGAGCTTGCTGTGAACTGGGACATTTTGAATGCTAAGAGATCTTTTAGGTTCCTAAGAAAAGCTTATAATGAACAATATTTTGTATTTAGTTAGAATTTACTCTGGTTAGAATGATCAGATGTCTGGTTTTTTAACCCATGAACTCAAGTTAGGTAATCCAGGAAGTGAATTCAGTTGTTTGGTGGATTTTGTAATTTAACATTGAGCCAACTCGAACACAATCTGAAACTTCAACCTTAGGGCTTCTGTCATTTCACTGTAAATTAGTAACCATCATAAAAGTGAAATAATGTCTATTTTTATACGGAGAAGAAAATTGGTCTTCATTTATAAAAGTTTGTTAGGATTGGGAATATTCATATTGTGGTTTTTTTTTCTTTTCAGTTTTACTATCTGTCACAAGCATCCTGTATATCGCTTCAATCCTCTTTGTCAGTTTGCTCTACATATACTACACCAAACCAGATGGCTGCACAGAGAACAAGTTCTTTATCAGTATTAATCTGATCCTTTGTGTTGTGGTTTCTATTATATCCATTCATCCAAAAATTCAGGTATGGTGGTTTTCTGCTTCTTCCTCCTGTGGGATTTTTAATTAATGCTAAACTTGAAACCTAGGTAACCTCCTATATGAATTTATGTCCAAATTAAACATTTTTCCATATTATGATAAAGTCTTCATAATTATAACTTAGTAATTATAAAAAGTGCCATTGAGTTGCCTGTAGTATAATTAAATGAGTAATTTTCTTATCATTTAAGAAAACCTAAGCAACTTGAGAATTTATAATTTCATAAGATTGTTTACAACTTGAGAATGATTTTTATGAATCATTAGCCAAGATATTTTAGGGGGATTAAACTAGAAAAAAGAATTGATTTTTAATACTTAAAAACAAAACTCATGCTCCTAAGTTTTATCACTTAAATAACATACTTTTAAAAATTAATGGAGTTTATATGAAACTAGAGGCCTGGTGCACGACATTCGTGCACTGGCGGCAGGGGGGTGTCCCTCAGCCCAGCCTGCACCCTCTTATAGTCGGGGACCCCTCGGGGGATGTCCAACTGCTGGCCTAGGCCCACTCCCCATGCAGGAGCAGGCCTAAGCTGGCAGTCGGACATCCCCCAAGGTGTCCCTAGCCCTGCCATGGAGGTGGGAGTGGCTCCCGCCTCCGTCACTGCACTCGCCAGCCGTGAACCCGGCTTCTGGCTGAGCAGCGCTCCCCCTGTGGGAGTGTACTGACCACCAGGGGGCAGCTCCTATGTTGAGCATCTGCCCCCTGGTGGTCAGTGCTTGTCATAGCGACCAGTCGTTCTGCCATTCGGTTGATTTGCATATTAGCTTTTTATTATATAGGATGTGAAAAGAACATCTAGACATCACCCCTCTTTAAAAATGAGGAAAGTGAAGTTCCAGAGAGATGATGGGTTACCCAGCTAGTTAGTGGCAAAGCTGAGTTTAGATTCCGCTACACTAAGAGACTAATAAATCGAAGCCTTTGTGTGATAAACAGGAATTTCCAGGATTATGAAATGCCTTGAGAACCAAGAATATATGCTTCCTCTTCCTGGGTTCTTTTTCAAGCTAGCTCAAACTGAAAGGTTACTTGTCATCTTTTCAACATCAGAAGGTTCTTAGTGAATAACAGTTCAGTGGATCCCAGAGAAGTACACCAAGTTTTAGAATGTCAGCCCTTGCAATCCCTGTAGCATTGTTTTCTTTTTGATTCTATAGGAACACCACCCTCGTTCTGGCCTCCTGCAGTCCTCCATCATCACACTCTACACCATATACCTTACATGGTCAGCCCTGACCAATGAGCCTGGTAAGAGAATGGCAATAACACATTCATCTGATGAAAGTAGGAAATTATTCCTTTGGTAGAGTAAAAAGTAAAGCTAGAGCAGATTCAAACAAATGAACAAACAGAAAACTGAAACTTCACTGGAAAGTATAATGTCACTGCAGATACTTGCCTTTGAGGTTTTATTCTCCATGTCTATTCATAGCTACTCCTCGCTGACAGTCTAAGGAACTGCAATCCTTTATGTTAGTCTTGGCTGTCGATTTCCAACCTTTATTTTTTGCCAACCTGACAAAAAAAACACACAATAGGTATAATTTTGATTGATTCTCACTGATGACTATAATGTTGGCTGTAGTCATTTTTTATTTGACAATCTAAGGGGAAAAAGATTAGTGCCCCTGACTAAATAGTCAGATTTTGCATGTTTTAAAAATTCTATGGTACACCAGTTGAAAATTGCTGTTCTAGGCTTTTCCCTGGACTAAGTCAAATTGGTTGAGAGCTAGAAAAGACAAGATTGTCTTGGCTCTTTGTAGAATTGTTTTAATTGTGTTTTACTTTGGTGTTACGGGCTCTAGAGGAAATAGCTGTAGGAAATCTTTTGTAGTTATTATAAAGTTGTTTCTCTTTTTTAAAAAATATTTTTAAGTTGATTTCAGAGAGAAAGGGAGAGGGAAAGAGAGATAGAAACATCAATGATGAGAGAGAATGATTGATTGGCTGCCTCCTGCATGCCCCCAACTGGAGATTGAGCCTGCAACCCGGGCATGTGCCCTGACCCGGAAATCGAATTGTGACTTCCTGGCTCATAGGTCGGTGCTCAACCACTGCGCCACACCAGTTGGGCAGATATAGGGTTGTTTCTCAATAGAGTATTCTGTGGGTTCCTTTGAAAGGGAAACAATTATTGCAGAATCTCTAATAATGACTCAGCTTTTTTCAAAAAATATTTTTATTGATTTCAGAGAGGAAGAGGGAAGAAGAGAGAAACATCAATGATGAGAGATAATCATTGATCGGCTGCCTCCTACACACCCCACACTGGGGATCAAGCCCACAACCCAGGCATGTGCCCTGACCGGGAATGGAACCACGAACTCCTGGTTCACAGGTCGACGTTCAACCACTGAGCCACACCAGCCAGGCTCAACTTTTATTATGTTCTTATGTCAGTATGTGACAACAAAATTAGGGATAAACTCCTTATGCTCAAAGCCTTTGCATAATTGTAGAACCAAGAAAATTTATTAAATGTCAAAACCAGTAAAATCAGGATTGATGTTTGTGAAATTTGACAAATTATTGTTTCTTTTTTTTCCAACACTAAGTCACTAATTGCAACACAGATACGTTACTGACTGCTAAATTTCAAGTTCTTTTAAATATAGCATTCCCATGTTTTATGTCATGACTGCATGTGTAGCCATATCCTTCAAATCCTTTATAGGAACAGGATGGGTTGTCACTAAAGATAATAAAATATTTCCCATTTTCAGATCATTCCTGCAACCCAAGCCTATGGAGCATCATTACACACCTGACTGCACCAACCTTGGCTCCTGCAAATTCAACTGCTCTGGTCCCTACCTCTGCTCCACCAACGCAGAGTGGGCATCTTCTGGAGACTGGGAATTTTATTGGGCTGTTAACCTTAGTTTTGTGCCTTGTGTATTCTAGGTAAGTTTAAAAATACTTAGAACAAGATTCTCATGAAGGTTAATATGGGTGAAGCAGCTTTTTTGCTTTCAAAAAGTATATGAGGAATTTTTTAGTAACAGCCTAACTCTTCTTTATTAAAAGTCCTCAACTTGCCTCGGTTACCCATTTCTTAAAACTCATTAAATCCTCTCATCAAATAATTCTTCCCAATGTTACAAAGAGATACCTTCTCATTTGTTTAGGAGGAGAAACAAATCAGCTAGAGCAGTGGCTCTGAAAATAGGTTGGCTTATCTTTAAAAACTTCACATGCCCCAACCCAAGATCAAATCCATAACCTAGCTATGTGCCTTGACTAGGAATTGAACCTGCAACCTTTATGGTGTACAGCAGTGGTTCTCAACTTTCTGGCCCTTTAAATACAGTTCCTCATGTTGTGACCCAACCATAAAATTATTTTCGTTGCTACTTCATAACTGTAATGTTGATACTGTTATGAATCGTAATGTAAATATCTGATATGCAGGATGGTCTTAGGTGACCCCCGTGAAAGGGTCGTTCGACCGCCAAAGGGGTCGCGACCCACAGGTTGAGAACCGCTGGTGTACAGGATGATGCTCCAACCAACTGAGTCACTTGGCTGGGGTATATACACAATTTTATTTATATCACTTGAAATATAATTTTTAAAAATAAATTAGGGCCCTGACCAGTGTGGTTCCGTTGGTTGGGCGTCATCCATTGTACTGAAAGGTTGCTGGTTCAATTCCTGGTCAGGGCACATGGCCCAGTTGCAGGCTTGATCCCCAGTGTGGGGGTATGAGAGGCAGCTGATTGATGTATTGCCCTCACATCAATGCTTTTCTCCCTCTCGTTTCTCTCTCTAAAAATTAATAAAAATCTTTAAAAATACATAAATAAGGTAAATAAATTAGGAACATGCCATATAAATACACTTACTATTCTAAAATACAAATTTGTCATTATAATCTGGACAGCTTTATATAACATTATGTGTAGATTTACTTGTTTTGTTTTGTTTTAATGATTGCTTAAAGTGGGGATTGGCAAACTGCAGCCCTAGTCTGCCTGCCTATTTTTGTTAGTAATTTCTGTGAAACACAGCTATACTCATTTGTTTTCATATTTTTGTTTGTTTTTCTTTTGGCCTTTTCTTTTTTAAAGATAAAATTCACATACCGCAAAATTCACCCTTTAAAAACGTACAGTTCGGTAGTTTTTAGTATATTCAGAGTTGTGCAGCCATCACCACAGTCAATTTTACCATTTTCCTTGCCTAGAAAGAAAGCCCATGCTCATTAGCAGTCACTCCCCATTCCCCCTACCCTCCTGTCCCGGCAGACAGTCATCTCTTTTCTGTTTCTAGATTTGCTTTTCAGACGTTTCATATGCGTGGAATCATACACTATATGGTCTTGTTACTGGCTTCTTTCACTTAGTATGTTTTCAAGGTTCATCCATGTTGTAGTATATGTCAGTCTTTAATTCCTTTCTGTTGCTGGAAATAATATTCATTGTGTGATAACACTACATTTCATTTATCTATCCATTCATCAATTGATGGACAGTTGGATGTTTTAAACCGGCTTATTTGTCTTTTTATTGTTTTTGTATATGGTTTGAGGTCTGGGGTCCAACTTCACTCTGCTGTATGTGGATATCCAGTTGTCCCAGACCATTTGTTGAAAAGACTATTCTTTCCCCATTGACTTGTCCTGGCATCCTTGTCAAAAATCAGTTGACCATAAATGTAATGGTTTATTTCTTGATTCATAATTCTACTTCATTGATATGTATGTCCATCCTTATGCCAATACCACTTTTTTAATTACTGTTGCTTTGTAGTAAATTTTAAAATTGGGAAGTGTGAGTCATCCAAATTTGTGTGTTTTTTTTCAAGATTGTTTTGGCTATCCTGAGTCCCTTGCATTTCCATGTAAATTTTAGGTTCAGCCTGTCAATTTCTGCCAAAAAATAAAAAAGGTAATTGGGATTTTGAAAGGGGTTGAGTTGAATCTGTACATGAACTTGGAGAGTATTATCATCTCAACAATATTAAGGCTTCTAGTCCATGAACATAGGATGTCTCATTTAGGTCTTTAATTTATTTCAGTGGTTTATAGTTATTAGTGTAGAAGTCTTAAATTTCTTTTGTTACAATTTTAGCACTGGGTTTTCCATAAACGCCCTTTATTATTTTGAGAAAATTTTCCTCTATTCCTAGTTGGAGTGCTTTTGTTATATTAAAAAGGATTTTGTCAAGTGCATTATTTTATGTCTCTTGAGGTGATCATGTAGTTTTTGTCCTTTATTTATATGTATTTTGTTATTGAGTCATTTAACAAACTTTAGTGAGCGTCTGTTATGTGCCAGAAAGCATAGATGACTAAGGTCATTGTTGTTAAGGAGTTCTGTGAGTAGCAAGAAAGACAGGAATGGTAAGTGCTATGGCAGAGGGAAGCATAAAGAGCTGTGGGAATTTAACCCAGCCTAGTGATGGGGAGATGTCAGAGAAGGATTTCCAGGGGACATGGCACATGGCCAGAGAATTGAAGGATAAGTAAGTTATCTGGGAGAAGGTTGGAGGGTGGTACATTCTAAGATAGGAGAGGTATGTGTGAAGTCATGGAAGTAGACATTGAGAGCATAGTATGTTTGGGGAAACTCCTAAGCAGTTAAACCATCAAGTACTAACTGGTAAGAGTACTGTCTGTCTTGTGATGGCAGGCACCAGTTCAGAACTTCAAGCAGGGCCTTTCAGCCCGTCAGGCCCCAAAGTAGGAGCAGTTCAGAAATAGCCTTCATGCATATAAGCCAATGGCAGCAGTTCATCTTCATGCCCATTTCTGATTTGTTTTCCTTGGCATCACTTTCTAGCTTCCGCACGTCTACCAATAGCCAGGTAAGTAAGCTGACCCTGTCAGGAAGTGAAAGCGTGATCCTCCGTGAAACAACTACCAACGGTGCCAGCGATGAAGAAGAGGGACAGCCTCGGCGGGCTATGGACAACGAGAAAGAGGGAGTTCAGTACAGCTACGCTATGTTCCACTTGATGCTCTGCCTGGCTTCTTTGTACATCATGATGACCGTGACTGGCTGGTACAGGTAGGAGGCTCAGACAACACAGATGGAAGATCACTTAGCCTCCTTGGGCCAACTGTAAAATCTCCATCCATTTTCCTGACTTTAGAATCCCCTTCTCTTACCTATATAACAAGTTGTGTTCGGTGCTCTTTTCTGAAATACTTTTGACTTGTTCTCCTCTTGGATTTAAAATCCAGTTGGGATTCTTACAGTGCAGATTATGGGGAGCTCTTCCAAACCTGAGTGCTTGAGAGAGACAATCATGACATAAAGTCAGTCTTTGTTCTCTAATTTTTCTCTGTGTCTAGAGAGAATCATACAGAATATTCTGATCGAAGTAATGATTGGTAAGGAAGGAGAGTTTCATGGAGACCATTTCAATCTAGACTTTTACCAGTATCTAGAACAGCCAGATGTTCCCGTAGAACTTTGCCCAAAGATTAGGGCTCTTCATGCTGGCAAGAAGATAAAAGCCATTGGAGAAGTAGGGTTCCCTGCTCATAAAAACTAAAAGCAGTTTCCTCAGGTCCCTTCTGGAACCTTAGTAAGGATTAGTGTCAGCCAAGTTTCCCTGGAGAATTTCCTGGCTTTGTTTGGGGGGCTGCCCGATGCTGGTATCAGGCTCCTTTTCCTGACTTTCTTCTGTTTTCTTAGCCCTGATGCGGAGTTCCAGAATGTTACCAGCAAGTGGCCAGCTGTGTGGGTCAAGATCAGCTCCAGCTGGGTCTGCCTCCTCCTCTACGCCTGGACCCTTGTGGCTCCAGTTGTCCTCACCAATCGAGACTTCAGCTGAGCCTCTGAGTGCCAGGGACACCACGTAAAGGTTCCCTTTGCTGAACGCCCTTGTACTTTTGCTTCAGCTAAAATATTAAGTGAATGCTTTGCGAAGTTGACTATATCCAAGTGTATATCCCAAGGCAGGATTGAATATGATTGATACAGGATCTGAATTTTTTATTTACATGTACATTGTTTATTTTTAAGGATATAGTGCAAAGGGAACATTTTTGCCTTGTAAAGTGAACTACAGCTGTGCTGTGAAGAGAGTTCTTTATTAAGACCTGTAGGTTCCTACAACTTTGATTTAAAATAGAAAATAGAAAAATATTGGATATTTGAGGCCATCGTTAATATATTTCTATTGCAATATCCTTAAGGAGCAGAAAAAAAAAGTAATAATGTATTTCTATGACAGTTTTCCTCTGTGAAAGTCTTTACTTGATACAAGCATTCTGTTCAGTCCGTAAGCTCTTAAGAGGTATAGCATCATAGTAATTGGGCGAAGGAGTGTGTGTGTGGGTCCTTCCCCAGAAGAGGGGTTGCTGATAGGGCTACTGCTTCTGCATCTTGAGACTTCATTTTTTTTATACTACAGCATTGACACTGCTCGATTCAAGTATGTGGCTTTGCCAGAACATTAATTTCAATAAATGCTTTGTAGGTTTGGTTAAAATGAGGACTCACTTAGGAAAAAACTGCAACTTTAGTCTATGTAATTATTTTGTTATGAGTATGTAAAAGTAAAATGCATGTGAATTTACTATATTTGCACTATAAGGTATTTGATTAAAATAGACTTACGCTTTTAAGGCCCTTTAACAGCTTTTATGAATTAGCAGCCATTCTGTATTTTTTAGACTTATATAGGCAGTCAGATTTATCAGCAGAATGCATCTATTCCTTCTAAAACTGAAGGGCTGGTGAGTAAAGTCTTGAACTCATTCAAAAAGTGTACCAATAGGTACCTTCTCCAGGCAAGATGCTTGGGTAGGTGAGAGGCAGGGGCAGGGACTGGCGGGAACCCTCCTGGAGAGGGAGCAGGCAAGGAGACAGAGGTCTTCAGGTTCTGGGATACAGCTTTAAGAATGACAGACACTCGCTCTACCATCTTGTCTCACAGTTTCCGAGAGGGTGAAAATGAGCTGACAACTGGTACAATGTGGTGTGACTAGTCCTGTGACTTAGGAATTCAAAGGTGCCCAGGTGGGGGTGTCATGGTAGGCTTCCTGGAAAAAGTGACGTCTCAGCCAAGAATTGTTAGGAGTTAGCTAAGAGATGGGAAGTGGGATGGCATTGCTGGAGAGTAGACGAGTCTGCATGTTAAAGGCAGGGAGATTTTTTAAAATATATTTTATTGATTTTTTACAGAGAGGAAGGGAGAGGGACAGAGAGCCAGAAACATCAATGAGAGAGAAACATCGATCTGCTGCCTCCTGCACACCCCCCAGTGGGGATGTGCCCGCAACCAAGGTACATGCCCTCGACCGGAATCGAACCTAGGACCCCTCAGTCTGTAGGCCGACGCTCCATCCACTGAGCCAAACCGGTCACGGCAGGGAGATTTTTAAAGACTTGTTTAATAAAGCTGGACGGGGGAGAAATGGGCAGAGACTAGGTTAGGAAGGGCTTTATAAACCACACTAAAGAGTTTGGACCTTACGCTGAGGGCAGTGGGGAGCATATTCATAGTGGCATGAATAAATTGTGTCTTCATTCACTGTATACATAGAGAATGGGTTTAGAGAGAGAAGACCAGGTAGTCCATGTAAGATTTGAAACAGAAGTAAACATGAGGAAGGAGAGAAATTGACAGCTCAGAGCTGCTTAGTAATTAAAATTTAAAAATTGGCAGGTGATTAGATACGGGGGGGAGAAGTAGATTCCTGAGTGATTCTGGTTTAAACACCTGGGTTTGATATGTACGTGAGGGGCAGGAAGAGGGTGTTAGAAGGATGGAGGTGTGGTCCCTTAAGAATGGCCAAGAGCATATGCTTGGAAGTCTGATTGGGTTTGCATCAGTTTTGCCATTTTCTATTGTCAAACAGCTAACATTTATTGAGGATATACTAAGCTTTATGACCCTGGGTGATAACTATCTGCCTGAGCCTCACTGTTTTCTTTGTTTGAACAAAAGATAGTACCTAGTACATAAGATTGTTTAGAGAGTAAAGCTGCTTTGTCAAGTGCTTGACCCACCTTAAGCACTCTGGTAGTAGCTGGTAATCTGAATATGGGCTAAAAAGCTACTGGACAATATTCAAAGTCATAGATTTTCAGCCAAAATCTAGTGCAGGCTAGATTTGAGGTGTTCTTACAGAATTAAACACAGGGAACATAGAGGGCACACACTCGGTTGGGGTGCAGGTGTGGGGGGTAGGGAAGCAGGGCTTGATAATAGGAATTGTTGGAACCACCATCTTTTAAACCAGTGGTTAATGTTGGGGTACAGAGATAAGGTTGTAAAGGATTTGGGGGGGAGACAGGGCAGGTTTAGCCCTTTTCCAGTATAAAGCAGATACCCCACTTTCCTTAACAGCAGGGCCACCCAGATTAAACCCATTAAAGGTCCTAAACTTCAGAAACATGGTACACCCCCCCCACACACCTTATATAATTCAAAATAAAAGCAATACTAAACTGTAACATAGGTTTAATAAAGTCCAATAAAGTTTTTAAATTTTTTATCACGATAGAAATTTTGATATTTAATTTAAAAAAATAAATTTTCTTTAAAAATTAGGGGGCAGTGTCCCTGCTGTGCATGGTTTTAAGTTGGAAGCCCAATAGTTTAGCCAAGATTGAAGTGATTACACACGTGAGTGCTGAATCACAAGCATAGACATCAGCATCTTGCCTAAGCCCAGGGTCAGACTGTGAAGCAGGGGGGTATTCTGAATCGTCAGACCTCATGGTGTCATCTCACCCCGATGAGTCGCCCAGTGTTTCATCACCACTCACAGCCCTGTCTCTGTCTGTCACCCAGGACTACCGATCAGGCCCTGGCTTTGAGGTCCGCAGTATGCTGTAGGAATTCATCAAAGGCAACATCTGTGAGACCTAGTTACATCTGGGAAAAAGCTTGTAGGCCCATCCTGGCTATTTACTTTCTAGGTGGTTGTTACAAGGTACTCATTTCGCTGGGAAATAACTTTCTCTTGACAACCAAAGGTACTGCCAAAGAATGACCATGGACCTGGTTGTCAGTGCTTTTGATGTCCTGGACGTAATCCTAACTCAGGCGTAATTTAAACCAGGACAGCTTTTTGGTCCAAGTTCTTGGCTGTATTTTTCTTTTTACACATTAAGCTAAAATGAGTATTCAATAATATGAGTCATGCATTTGATCTTTGCCAGATGGATGGCAGGTACCAGGCTTGTGCTTACTAACGGGAGCAGCACTTCATCTCTTTACTCCTTTGTGTTGGTCTATTGTATCCATCGTGTTACCTACTCAGTGATGTTCTAAGTCCTGTTGGGTGACTCACCAGGCGATGCCTGTAACCTCGGGTGAAGAACAGTCATGACTACCACATAAATACCTACATGTACCAAGCAATGAACAGGCATTGTCCACACCCCTGCAAGGTGGTGGTGATTCTCTCTTTTCCAGGTCAAACCAACACTTAGAGAACTTTGTGATCTGCCCTCAGTTACACAGAAACAAACCCCAGGCTGACTTAGTTTTCTTCAGTTAGGCCCCATTGTCCCTTGGCCTACTAGGATGTAGGAGACAAGATAAACTAGAGACTGCTTGGACCTACAGGGGAGTCAGCTGGCTCTCTAAGCTTACCCATCATTAATAAAGGAAAGTTAGTAATCCGCTAAGGCAGTAGCTAGTATTTTACTAGGTCACTGTATCCCTAATGTCTGGCACCTTATCAGGTAAGAGGGTGAACATTTAGTTAAAAACATTTTTTCCCCAGTAAAGTGGCACCTTAAATGATTTTATTACTCAGCTATAAATGCAATAATGTGAAACATTTGCTGCCATTTATTATAGGAATGCCAAACCAGTTCTATGTAAAGAGTGGGCAGTAGGGAAACTAAGGTATTTTAGAAAAGAAACAAGAAAAGGCTGACTCATAACATAGACAGTAACTCCAGTGGCTTATAAAGTGCGTCCTAACTACCTTGTAACACTGCTATAAGGTGAGAAGGGAGGAGCCATTAGCTCCATTTTTCCAGATGTGAGAAACAGACTGAGCTTAAGCTCCACAGGCTCCTCCGGGAAGGCTGACCGGAAGAGCGATGTTGCAATGTGAGTACTTACGTGTCGAGTCATCAGAAGCCAACAGAGAATGTACGGACCTCCTGCAGGAGTGTTTCTCAGCTGAGTCATCACCAACACACAAGGCCCACCGTAGGGCCTGGGCTTTGTCTCGGGGGCAGAGTGTGTGCTCCTCTACAGAAACAAGTGGGACAGGCAGAGGAACGGCTCAGCATGCAGAGGCCATTGACCAGGCCGTACCTGTTACCTCCCAAGGAGTCTGGGTTTCCTTGGAGCTTCTAGAATAATGTGTTCCTCACGCTAAAAGTTCCTCTCTTTTGTGCTCCGTGCGTGGGCTGACAATAAGAATAAAAGAGAAGTGCACAGCCTAGCACCATCAGGAGAAAATAGTGGGCTGACTGCCTGGCTTTGAATCCCAGTTGTACTGGAAAAGCTGTGTGTCCTCGGGCAAAATGCTCAACTTGTGTCTCACGTATCCCACAGGGGCAATAATCCCGCTTCACTGAGGGTGCCTGACAATTAAATGAGATTATCTATGTGAAGGACACCATCATGCTCAGCCCACTTGAGCTCTCAGGAACTGTTCGCTGTCACTAGAAGGATTCAGGGCTGGTCCAGAAAGTATATCTGGGCCTTGAGAACCAAAAAATGTGCACACTGCACCACTGGGCATCAGTGGTGTCTCCTAGTTGCACGTGATCTCCAGCGCAGCAGCCCTGCGTCTGTAGGATGCACTGCTGTCAGTGCCCTCCTGCCTCCGCTGCAGGGAGGCTCTGCCGGGCCTGCACACCAGGAATAATAAAGCTTCAGAACTGTAATCCAAGCTGCCATTGTCACAAAGGGACTCCACACACATTCGTCCTTACAGGGATTTTTATTGTTGGAGACTCAGTCATGCATACTAAAATTACATGTTTTCACCACTTCGACTTAGAAAATGCACTAGAAAAATAAACTTTTGGTCAAAACAAACACTGAAGTAGATGAGTCCACCACCATGTGTCCCTATACTCAAAGCCAAACTGAATTTCAGTTTGAAGTGAGGAATGTGACCAGTGGCTGAACGGTGCCCCAGTCTGGTCAGAAAGAGCCCACCTCCCACCCAGCAGAGTGGTGTCAGAGGCTGTTGGCCCCAGAAAAGCTTCAAGTATTTCACTTGTAACAGGTCCCACCTGATGTGCCAGGAGGCGAGGCACATCTGCAAGAACCCCCGAGGGCAGCTGACTGACTGGCTGTCCAGCTGAACACGTGGCCCAGTGAGATGGAAGGAAAGCAGCGAATTGGCAAACAGTAAATTCATCACTAGCATCTTCATCCACAAATCACACTGGGCTTCCGTGGAGCAAATGCTAGGAGGAGTATCTGACTGATGATGTCTGCTCCTTGCATTTCAAGCAAGCCATTTTTCTGAGTCCAGAAAGCAGACAGAAAATGACTTGAAATTCACAAAATTAACAGATCCCAGTACCCAGGGGAGGAGAGGAGTGTGAGAACGGCCATCACTCCCAAACAGTCGCAATGTTTGGCATCTCCACACCTTTCATGCCACAGGACAGCCACGCTTACACATTAGCTATCATTTTACTTCCTAAATGAAAGAGCTTTCAAAGGAAAGCCTTAAGAGCTGAAAACTTCAAAGTGAGATATTATAATAATGCCACAGGGTACCACAACTTCTGCCTACCCAAATGGAAAAATAATCCCATGACCGGTCTGAGAATGAGATGGCATTTAAAGAAACTGCCCACCAGGGAGAATTCTGAGAGGCTCAATGTCTCACAGGAATTTAGGGGGAAATTCTCTTATTACCCTGCTACTTTTTGGCCAAAAAGAAAAATGTATCTTGTAAGCTAAAGTGTCTATAAACCTGAGGACAGGTGACTCCCTGGAAAGCAGGATGAAACATGAGGGAGCTAAAGCCACCTTCACCAAGAACAAATACGAGGAAGCCAGGACAGCACTTCTGGCTGTTTCTGTAGATTTTTTTCTGTAGATTTTAGCCTCTCATGAAGGCAGAATGGGATTCCAGGAAGAGACACACTTGTGGAGCAGTATGGGGGAAGGAGGAAGAAAACCCCCATATTACCTAAACCTACATTTGGAAGTTTTAGGTACTTCCTGAATGACCCAGCTGGGGGCGGGAGTGAGGGGCAGGGGCAGGATGATGGATGCTGGGAACAGAGGTTTCAGAGTCAGGGTGTGATCCCTTTTAGTACAGAATGATTCAGGGGTGTGCAGTGGCTCACCCAAAACCACACACCAAGGTACAGCTGGAACTCGGTCTCCTGATGTACTCCCTTCCCTTCCCTACACTGCACACTGCCCTGAAGTGTGGGGAAAGTTCATTCTCGGGAGCCTGTGGAATGGGCTGGAGTGTCTTCCTAAAGGAAAGCACTCCCCGTTCCCCGCTGTTCACTGCTGCGCAGTCTGTGTGCCTCCACTAATGAGTGTGGCTCCCTGTGCGCTCCCTTGGGAGCCTGTGGAATGGGCTGGAGTGTCTTCCTAAAGGAAAGCACTCCCCGTTCCCCGTTCCCCGCTGTTCACTGCTGCGCAGTCTGTGTGCCTCCACTAATGAGTGTGGCTCCCTGTGCGCTCCCTTGATCCTGCCCATCCCCCTGCCGGGGAGCTGGAAATGCTGGTGAAGCCGAACACAGGCTGCCTTGATCTTCACCCAGGGAGGTCCTGGTTTCGCAGCTTGGCTCAAACTCCTCAGGTGCCAAAACTATCGGATCCCTCTTTTGAGCCAAAACAAAGCAGCAGCTCTAGAAGGCAGGCAGACAAACCCTGGCTCCGACTCCTTCAGAAGCTGAAACAGCTCCTGGGCTCAATTACAAAGGCCTGAACAGCATCCTTCCTGGTCTCTGAGCTGCTTCTCTAGGTGAGCTTGGCCACTCCTACTGAAGTCACCTAGACAAAGGCAATGGGATGGAATGCAGTTTCAACCTTGGAAACTTGGTGGGGCTGAGCAACTCATTTCTCTCTGTCTAGCTGTTCCCCCGCCCCCCTTTAAAAAAAAATCTCTTTGGGAACTAGGAAAGCCTCTAACCAATTTTCCCATCCAGGCAGATGGGTCCTGAACCTCTACCTACATTAGCCACCCCACTTGTCCTGTTTAGATCTTTTCAGCAATGCTGGTCACACCATCACTGTCAGACGGAACTAGAGGCAGCCAGGGGTGTGCATTTTGACACTTTCAGCTAAGCCAGGTCCTAGAGGATCCAGGGTTAGTATCTATGGTGAAAAGAACTTTCCCTAGAATTGGCACTAATGAGGTACATAACTTCTACCAACAACTTCTCCAGACTTTTAAAGTGCTATAAAGATGAACAGCTTATTTGCAAGAGACTGGCCTTTGAATTTCGGTGCACTGTTCACTTCCACCTTGCCTGGTGGCCTAATAAGTGCACAGAGAAGTCACACACACAACACACAGTACTTGTTACTTTAACATCATCGTTTACATGGAATGAATAGGAAAGGAAATAGGTCAAAAGCCACGAGATGAACCACTAATATGACGCCTGGGCAAAGGCTAAATTCTTGACAGGATGAGTCTAAAGTATTGAAATGCAGAACCAACACCCAGCTTGGCTGGACAGACTAAAGTGTGCCCACCCACAACAAAGAGAGAAATTCCGTGGGTTTGGGAGGGCAGGGGCCATCAGAAGTGACCCAGCAATAACCTGCCCCTTAATTCATTTCCAGAGACCAAAATTTCAGAATCCCAAGTAACTTAACCATTCCCTGCTGCCAGCTTTACAATATACCACCAGAATCTCAGGGATGGAATTCATACAAGATCCTGGTCATCTCACCTGCCTGCCCTCACAAAAGCCATTCAAGTTTAACCCTCACTACGAAAAGGAGGTTGGTGTCACTGAGTTCCAGGACATGCATACTTGTTTCTTTAAAGGCAGGGCCAAATGGTGACTGACACATGCCTCTTGGAAAGGCCCAGGTGTACCACGGAAAACAGGATCCAGCCACGTGCATCTAGGCAGCGGTTCTCAACCTGTGGGTCGCGGCCCCTGAAAATACATCCTGCATATCAAATATTTACATTACGATTCATAACAGTAGCAAAATTACAGTTATGAAGTAGCAACGAAAATAATTTTATGGTTGGGGGTCACCACAACATGAGGAACTGTATTAAAGGGTCGCGGCATTAGGAAGGTTGAGAACCACTGGCCTAGAAAGATGATGCTCTAGACACAGTGGTTCTCAACCTTCCTAATGCCGCGACGCTTTAATACAGTTCCTCATGTTGTGGTGACCCCCAATTTCATTGTTACAAATTGAACATAATTAAAGCATAGTGATTAATCACAAAAACAATATATAATTATATATGTGTTTTCCGATGGTCTTAGGCGACCCCTGTGAAAGGGTCGTTCGACCCCCAAAGGGGTCGCAACCCACAGGTTGAGAACCGCTGTTCTAGGCGGAAAAGCAATGTCTAACATCCAATAACTAAATCAAACCCCAGAACCTCAGCAGCCCAAGGGGCCCTATGTGTCATTTCATTGAGCATCATTTTACAGATGAGGAAACTGAGGCTCACAGAGGCCCAGGTCTTATCCATGGCCACACATCTGAGGCTGGAGCTCAGGTCTCTTAATTCTTAGGCCAGCATTCTTTTAGCTACACAGGCCTGGCCTCCAGTATTTTAGGTTGAATAAAATTGTATACTTCTAGGACCTTGCATGATTCTATTGAGAACCAGACTAAGGCTTTATGGGTTTGGGAAAACTAGTTTCTACTGCAAGATTCAACCAATGAATCCCACAGGTGCTTGAAGTCTTGGCTCCCGAACTCGATCGGGAAGTCCCTGGTCAAGCTGCTGACGTCCACTGTGTGCCGATTCAGATAAGGTGCTTTCCAAACCCATGATGGCAACAGGTACCTGGGCCGAAGACTTGTAGATTCCTTATGAGCAACCGAAGTCTGGAGTTAGGGTTCATGTGAGAGACACAAACTCCTAAAGTCTTACATGTGGCCACCGTGCAGGCTGGACCCAAGTGTTTCATAGGAGTGTGCTGACTGGCCAATCGGGTTGTTTTCTGCTGAAGATGGGATCAAAGTGACTTTGGTCCTCATTCTTCCTGCTTTGAGATGTTTAAGAACCAGAAACAGCTTCCAGATTAATGGCTGCAAACTGGGATTCCACAGATTTGGGCATCACTGGGAATGCTCTCCAGGTCTTCATGGAGTGATTCAAGTGATCAAGGGCATGCCCTTCGCTCAGGCTCGGCTTTTCCTCCACGCCGCAGCTTAACTACAAGGAGCAAGAATCCATGGCACCTAAAATTCTCCTGTGCCTCCCCAAAGCGAAAAGGAAAGGACTTAAAGCTGGTGGTGCTCACAAGGGACTGGCTAATAGCAGGAGTACAGCTGTGATTTCACAGCCCGCATGGAGTCATCACACTGCGCATCTGAGGTCAGCCCCTCGGGCAGCAGGGCCCGCCCCAGGATGCTGTCGCAGGCGGGGACAGGCTGGCAGAACTCTCTCACAAAGTCCTCCTCTGAGGCCAGCAGCACCGCGTTCCAGGCAGCAATGTCCAGCTCGCCAGCCGTGCCCCCGTACTCCTTGGGGAGAATACTTTTTGGAAGGTTTATGTGGAGAGAGTTCAGGTCAGACCCGTGGAGGAAAAACTAGAGGAGAAGGAAATGAAAACACACCTGGCCTTAGGTTAATCAGTGATTCACTAACCTCCTTCATGCTATGTGCTCAAATATCTTGAATGAATAAAGGAATGGATGATGGCAACTCTACCCCTCCAGTTCTTGAAAAGCTTGAAGATTCTTAATTTTCTTTTCTTTATACCAAGTGCCCTGTTGGCTGCTCCTAGAAAATATACCCAGAATCCAACCACCTTACTGCTACCCTAATGGCACCATGCCACCATCGTTTCTACCCAGACTCCCACAACACCTGCTTCCTGGTCTCCCTGCTTGCACCCTGGTCCCACCACAATCTAAGCTCATTTCAGTGATGTCAGATCACGTCACTCCTCTGTACAACTCTCCAGTGCTCCCCTCACAGACTAAATGCCAAAGGCCATATGATCTAGCCCCCATTACTGCTCTGCCTCCCCCTTCTCCTGCTTCCCCGCTGCTGCTCCTCCAGTATGCCAGGTGTGCTCCCACCCCAGGATCGGGCTGTTGCTGGTCCCAGGGATCTGTAAGGCTCATTCCCTTGCCTCTTTCAATTCTTTACTCAAACGCCAACTTCTCAATGACGCTACCTCTAACCACCCTATTGAATACTACAACCCTTTCCCCCTTCCCACACTCACTAACTTCTTTCACTGCTTCATTTTTCTCCATTGCACTCATCACATTCTAATACCAGGTAACATATAATTCGTTGTCTATGTCTCCCTAGAACAGGGGTGGGGAACCTTTTTACTGCCAAGAGCCACTTGGATATTCATAACATCATTCTCGGGCCACACAAAATTATTAACTTAAAAATTAGCCTGCTATATTTGGTCAAACATTCACTTGACTCACCCTATTGCCTTGGCAGGGCCAGACCAAATGATTTTGTGGACATTACACGGCCTGTGGACCAGACGTTTTCCACCCCTGCCCTAGCATGTAAGCTTCCTGGGGACTGAGAATTTGGTCTATTTTGTTTATCTAGAACATACTCACATGTAGTATTTGATCAATATTTTTAAATGAATGAATGAACATATGAAGGAACAAAGGAACAAGATTGTGGGCCACAAATAAGGTCATTTCACAGATGTGAAAAGAAGACTTAGCCCAAAGGCTGCTTTGGAAAAAGCAAGTTCCAAATAGGAGCTCCAGGAACCAACACAGGCTCAAACCCAGGCGTGGAGGCCACTAAGTTAGTGGTTCTCAGACCTAACTGTGCATCAGAATCTCCTAGATTATAAAAGCACAGATTATTGGGCTGTACCCCTGAGCTGATGAATTAAAACCTTCAGGGAGCCCAGCTGGTGTGGCTCAGGGTTTGAGCGTCGACCTATGAATCAGGAGGTCATGGTTCAATTCCTGGTCAGGGCACATGCCAGGGTGGTGGGTTTGATCCCTAGTGTAGAGCATGAGTGTGCAGGAGGCAGCCGATCAATGATTCTCTCTCATCATTGATGTTTCTGTCTCTCTCTCCCTTTCTGAAATCAGTAAAAAAATTTTTTAAAAAGTCTTCAGAAAAAGGTCTGGGGATCTGGATTTTAAGTTCACTCCCTTGCAATCTTGAGATTCTGTCTTTCTGTGCTTCCTCTTTGAAAAAAAAAAATTATATATATATAAATAAATAATTCAAGTCCCAGTCCTTGGAGTGATCACAATGTTCCTAGGCCTAGGGAGGGGAAAACCACCACCCGCCATATTTCAATCTCGGTGCTGGAAAAGGCTCTCCCATCTTTTCATGTGTCACTTACCCGTTTTTAAATAAGAGTTAAGCTAAAAGCTCACCTACCTCATAAACCTTGAATTATTCCACACACTTTATACAGCAGGACTACAGATTAGGTAGATGGGAAGGCTTAAATAGTATTTTGAAACCCAAGGAGCTGTAGGGAGAAATCTCCATAACTCTTCTTCACCACCTGCCCAATGACAACTCTTTTCCATGTCCTCTTATATGTAAAATATAATGTTGGTTTACAATGCTCAGCCCAGGATATGAAAAAGTCTGATTGATTACAGAGCAGGGAAGCTCTTAGATAGCAACTCTGGCTCTGCTCTCTCTATTGTCAAATGTTATATTCTTATTCATCTCCCCCTCACAGAAAGGACTGTTCACTGAACTTTTCAAATTAATAGTCCCAGGGCAAGAATAATAAACTAAGATAAGACTACTGATGTCACAATTAAATTTATAGATGTCACCAACACGGAAGCAGAAACAAAATTAAAGTATCTTTAGTAGGATCATCACACTTACTCTGTTTGCTATTTTCTCCTTCAGAAATGGTTTTATGATGGCAAAAATGCCTTTAAATATTCGAGGTTCATTCACGATATGGACCGCTTTTATCCGAATGGGGAAGCCATCCTGTGGGGGAAGGGAAGGGGATGTCAGAACATATGGAATATTTGCAAACTGTCAGTTACCACAGCCTGCCTCCCCCAGTGAAATCTTCTTCAGTCTGGTCTGAATCTCAAGGTCTCCTCAAAGAAACACAAGTAGGGGCTAAACAGGAAGGTAAAAAGTGGTCTGAACCTATGTGGATAGATCTAGTAAGTATTAGACCTTCTGAATCAGAGTTGCCCAAAGTGTATTTCTCGGGATGCTACCAGGTGTGATGTAAAAAAGCGTCCAGGTAGGTAAATGAGTTTGAGAAGTAGTAAACTAAATACAGTCAAACAGATTTCCTTTAACTGCAGGACTGTTCAGAGCCTTAAATGTAAATGTTTACTGTACAGTGACATTCACAAGGAAGGGACTTGCTTTACCATATTTCCCATTTTAACCCTGGAATTTTGTCTCTCAGATCATCTTACAGGAAACAATAATCTAAACTGATTATGCTGAGCCTTACATCTACATGGGATTTAGCAGGAGGCATCAGAAGAGTGGGCGCCAAGGAAAGCCAGAGCGCTGCCTCACAGCCAGAATTCAAACCTCCGATAACGACCAAATGTGACGTGGATGTTTACATACTCAGCCTGGGGCACAGCAGGGCCTCAGACACATGGCAAACTGTTCTGTCTCTGGTCCCGACAGCTCACAAGAACCAGCACCCACAGGCTGGGTCTGAGTGAGCAGGAGTCACGCCGGAGAGACTTGGGCCACACGGTATCTGCTAGGTCAGTTTCCCCGCCGACAGAAAAAGAAAAGTAATTCTTGACTTGTCTATCTAAAAGGATTCCTTGAAGCACTGAATGGGTACGATGACCGTAAAAGTGCTTTGCAAACCATTACACACTGCGAAGATATATAAGGAACCCGACGGTTCTCAGTGACTTGCGTTCTGAGACACAACTTGAGGGGCGAAAGCATCGGGCCAAACAGTCCAACAGTGCTCCCCACCCCCGGTCCCACAGGCGGCCGGGCAGGCTCTATCACCTTGGGCAGAAACACAGTTTCTCAGTTTCATTTGTTAGGAGAATTTCTCCTCTGTCTTCTTGACCAAAAAAAAAGAGCAGAAAGCATTTCTCTGGTTTTTGGCGTCTTGTCCGAAAGCTGATCTTGCCTAGATTAAAGGTACCTCAGAAACTACTGGAGACCCTCAGGGGAATGAGTGGTAAATAGATGTTCCAATGCTTCCGTATTTTTCTGATTGCAGGAGCCGGAAGTTGGGTGTGCCTATCACATGGGTAACTGGACAGGGCTCTGGGGAAACCAAACAACAGAAAGGCACATGACAAATGGAGGCCATACCTGAAGGATGCCAATCACCTTTTTGGCTATAAAAGGGCCAAAGTGAGATGCTTTAGATAAGCTCACTCCTTTGTAGTCTGCAAGAATTACAATTCCATTCACTTGGGTCTCTTCAGATTGAATGAGCTTTTCCAACGTCAAGTATATGACTCGGATGTTTTCAGTGATTGGATAGCTGCTCGGTATCCATCTGTCTAAGGTCGTAAGAGATGGTCAGTATGTTACATAAATGCATACAAACAATCAGACAGGCTAAGATTGATCTCTGTGCTAAAACGGTCCTTTAAAAACAGAAAGGCAAGATGATATTCTACTGGCATGGCTCTATTGAGGTTAGGAAATCAGACACCTTCAGCAGCAGCTGACATTTCTTAACTCCTGAAATGGAAATTGCAATTGTGTTGAGGTCAAAAGTGTGAACTCTGAAGTTACACCTTGGGCAAGTTACTTCCTTACTCTGAGTCCTCATCACCTCATAAATAGAATGGGATAATAGGACTTATTTTATTTTTATTTTTTGCTAATCCTCACCTGAGGATATTTTTTCTATTGATTTTTAGAGCAAGTGAAAGGGAGGGGATGGGAAAGGGAGGAGAGAGAGAGAAACATCGATGTGAAAGGGACACATCAATTAGTTGCCTCCCACATGCACACAGACCAGGGCCAGGGATCGAACTGCAACCCAGGTACGTGCCCTTGATGGTGCATCCCTTGGGTGCGCGGGATGATGCTCTAACCACTGAGTCACGCCAGCCAGGGCAATAGTACTTATCTTAATGGACATCTATGCCTCTGCCATCAGATGTGTCCCTTTATCTTCAGGACATCACCCTGATTTTCCTTGGGGAACCACCTCTTCCCATGCTAACCATGCAGTTTGGGTAAAACTGAATTTGAGTCCTGGCTCCAGGTGTGGGCTTGGTTCTGTGAGATGCTCCTGTCTCCTCAGACTAAATCCTCCCTTTTTTCGTAAGCTGGGTTGAGTAGGGTTTGTTATCTGCCATGAAAGGCCTTGACTAACACATGGAGGTGATAAAAGGGAAAAGGAAAGGGGGAGAGGGGCTGGACAGACACACCCCAAACCGAGGCTGTGCACAAGCACCCCGCCACAGCCTAGGGCAATACCTGGGCGGATGCAGAGGATATGGCAGCCCCGCGGGTCTGTGTGGGGCAGCACGGTGAGGAATCCGGAAGCGAGGACCTCTTTTAAGGCCGACGGCTTCAGGTTCTGGAAGACCTCAGGCCAACTTCTCCTGCAGCCGTGGTAGTTGATCAGGAGCTGCAGGGCCCGGTCGTAATCGAACTTGCGGGCCCGGAGGAAGCGCAGCAGGAAGGCGTCGTCCAGAGCGGTGCGCAGGCCCGGGCACTCCTTCCGCACCATGTCGCGGAGGGCCTGCGCGTCTCGGAGTCTCCACTCCGGCTTCTCCTGCAGCTCTTCCCTGGCCTTGGCGACCAGTTCTTCCGTCAGCGAGCACACGTAGCCAGGAGGCTTGGGTGCTGGTGGCAGCTCATTTTCGGAAAGTGAGGCCACAGAAGGGCTAGTTCTCAGAGAGTCACTTTCTTCTGACATTAGCTACCAGGGTGCCTGTCAAAACAGATGCCCCAAGTGGAGTTAATAAAGTGCAGCCTTATTAACTGGTCATCTCAAACCCCAGGGCAGCTGATGCGGGGGGACTGGAACGTTTTTGTTAAGCCAAGTAACCTCAGAGCACTGGGTCTCAACTGGGGTGGAAGGGTGACCTGGATCTGAAAGGCTGAATTAAGTTAGAATCTCCACGGGGGCACCCAGACCTACAGCAGGAAACACACACTCCTCATCCAACACCGTGGCTTTGCTCACAGATGTATGCATGGATGCTCGATATAACTCGTAATTAAAGAAACGTGAATTAAAACAACTCTGAAATTCAGACTGGCAAAATGCAAAATGGGTTCTCTGATATGCCTGCTGTTGGGGGAATAAGCTAGGTAGCCTCTTTGGATGGCAGTTTGTCATTATCTATCAAAATTTAGCCCTGGCCGGGTGGCTCAGTTGGTTCGAGTGTCGTCCTATACACCAAAAGGTGGTGGGATTATAATGGCAAAAACTGGAAATACTTTACCTACTAGTTGGAGGCTGGTTAAGTAATATCACCATAAGAATGGAATACTATTCAGTCATGGAAATCAGGTAGAACTTATAAACTGATATGCGGGGGGGGGGGGGGGGGAGCAGTCGCAGAACAATGTATATAAAATAGTCCTGTTTGACCAGCAGGTGTGGCTCAGTGGTTGAGCATCGACCTATGAACCAGGAGGTCAGGGTTCGATTCCTGGTCAGAGTACACACCTGGGTTGCAGGCTCCATCTCCAGTAGGGGGCATGCAGGAGGCAGACAATCAATGATTCTCATCATTGATGTTTCCAACCCTCTCTCCCTCTTCCTTCCTCTCTGAAATCAATAAAAATAATTGCATTTATGTTTCTAAAATATATACATATATACACTTGTCAATACACCTAAAATTTCTGAGAAGAGATACAGGAAACTGTTGCCAATGGTTCCCAGAGAACAACTGGAGAACTGGATGTTTGAGGCGGGAGAGGCTTTTTCTGTACTGTTTGAATTTTTTTTACCATATGCAATGTGACTTATCATGGTGGTCATGAAACGGAACTCATCAGATCTCCTGCTGGGGTGAAGCATAACTGACGGATGGCCCAGCTGCTTTCCCCCTGGATCCGCCATCCAGGGGTCCACGCTTTACACAGACTGGCCCCCAGCCAATGACTGAGACATGGGACTCCTCTACCAGGTAACTCTCTGCCTCAGGGACTCCCCATCCGCCTGGCCAGCCAACCCTTTCATGGACCTGCGTGTAGTCGGAGACTTACTGCCCAAACCTCCTCCACAGGGCCAGCTCCCCTCCATCTATGCTTCATGGGCGTTGCTGCCAATGGCTTTCTTGCGTGTCTAATCTCATCTTAGTTTCTGCTTCTTAGAAGACCAGAACCAACACACTTATCAAGTGAAAAGCAGAAACAAAAAACGGCTGCCTTAGATATTCCAAGAATAAGATAGCAGTAGGGCTGACCAGTTCCAAAGCCCAAGCTCTTGTCCATGGGCTGCCACTGAACCCCTGGAGCTCGAGGAAGGCAGGGACCACCTCATGGGTCTCTGCATGTAGCCAGTCACGCACAAGTGCACGGCAGCTGTTGTGGCCAGGTTACTTCATTCCCTGCATTCTAGCCGCCAGCCCTACCCAGCTTTTTTCACTTCCTCCCAGAGGTGTTTTTTTTTGTCTTGTCACATCCTGTTTCCTCCAACTAATATGCTCTTCCTCTAGTTCATCACCTGACTAATTCATCCTTAAGTTCCAATTAAATGCCACTTCATTCATTCAACAAATATTGAGCACTTACTATGTGCCAGGCCCACTTCCAGGCACTGAGGACGCAGCAGTGAAAATAAAATCCTGCCTTCACTGAGCTTAGATACTAGTGTGTGTGTGTGTGTGGTGGTGGTGGTGGGGGGGGGGGGTCACTATAAGCTAAATAAACTATATATTCTCCATAAGCACTATGGAGAGGGATAAAGCAGGAAGGGGGTTGAATGTATCTGGGGACAAGAGTTGCAATTGTAAATAGGGTGGTCATGGAAGGCCTCACCCAAGTGACAATGGAGCAAAGACAAAGGAGACGAGGGAGCAAGTTGTGTAGGTAGGTATCTGGGGGAACAAGGGTGAGTCTGAGGCAGGAATCTGTCTGGCTTTTTCGAGGAACAGAGAGGCCGGTGTGGCTAGAGCCAAGTGAGCAAGGCAGAGAGTACCAGCAGGTGAATTTAGAGAGGTGCCCACTGGACCAGAGCTTTGTAGGCCAAGAAGGTTGCCCTTGAGTTTGGTGGAAGCCAACAGGGTTTTGAGTCGAGTGACATGACCAGATTTGTATTTTAAGAGGATTATTCAGTTGTCTTGCAAATGGACCGGAAGGGGACGAGGATGGAAGTGAAGAGACCATTTAGAGGCCGCTGCGTTAACCCAGGTGAGAGATGACGGTGCTTGAAGCAGAAGGCCTTCTCGGACTCCAGGCCGGATTAGGAGCCTCCCACAGCCCTCTGACATAGCACTTCTCCCACGCCACTGTTGTCTGTCGGCAATTTGTGAGGCACATTCACAACTGTCTTGCTCATCACCTTAAACCCAGCACCTCACAGGGTGCCAGGCACACAGTCCGAGCTCCATAAATATTTGTTGAATGAGTTTAATCTGCTTGGCAGAGGTATGCTGAGCAAGGAATGGAACAAGCAGATTCATAGGATCCACCCTGGGCTGTTTCCATGGGAGTTACCAACAGATGCCTGTAATCGCAATCCAGTGCTTACCCAGGAGGAAGACTGTCATGCCCACGTCCATGCCCCAGCCTCAGTGTCTCTCTCCAGCCCGTCTCCTAGCTTCCCACCTCTCAATGCACAGTAAATGCCAGTCAAAACAAACCAGTGTCCCACCATTCTCAGGACACCTCATGCATTTATGATATTTCTGCCTGGAATTTCCTCTCCTTGTCTGTTCCCACCCAGACAACTCATCACGTTCCAGACCCAGCTTCAATGTCACCTCCTCTGTGAAGCCTTCCCTGATTCCCTAGGGCAACTCCCTCCAGTGTTCCGCAGCACCTATTTTTTTCAGAAACGGCAGTCCAGTGTTATGACATAAACACTCCTCAGGGTCTGCTTCACCAACCTTTCATTATCAAGGAATCACTGATCACCTACCCTATGAGTCAGGCACTGTGCCCACACGCACTGGGCATGCAACAGCGAACAATATAATTCTTTGCCTTAGGAAGTTTAACTTAGTGACATAATGAAGCGATAATACGTATGAGCGTTTTACCATGCATCGAGCTTACCGTGGTGAATAAGAACTTTTCTTTTACTCTTCACTGTATTTGGTGCCGGCTCTATTACTCCTCCCATTGTAAGTGGGAGGAAACTGCCCACTAGGATGTAAATTCCACGGGGGCAGACCATTTGCCTGGCATGTTCACAGATCTCCCCAGTGCAGTGGTTCCCAACCTTCCTAATGCCGCGACCCTTTAATACAGTTCCTCATGTTGTGGTGACCCCCCAATTTCATTGTTACAAATTGAACATAATTAAAGCATAGTGGTTAATCACAAAAACAATATGTAATTATATATGTGTTTTCCGATGGTCTTAGGCGACCCCTGTGGAAGGGTCGTTCGACCTCCAAAGGGGTGGCGACCCACAGGTTGAGAACCGCTGCCCCAGTGCCTGGCCCGTGAGGCAGCTCAACACCACCAGCGACGGATGTGGAGGTAAGTGCTGGGACCAGGGGCACACACCCGGCGGGCCCTGCACTCCCCGGAGCCTCGGGCTAGTCTCCAGGGTCTGGGCAGTTGTCAGGCACCGAGCTGATGGCCGAACAGGGGGGAGTGCAAACCCCACTCGTTAGGGTGGAGCCATGAAGCTTCCTCACCTGAGTCCATCACCCTGTGAGCACCACCTTCCTCCCCACGCCACCCAAGCAAGGAGAGGTCAGGATGCCATCGCTCCTGGGGCCCCACAGACCCTACGTCCCGTAGCAGCCTTTCGAGACCCCACTTCCGGTTGTCACCCCTTCCCCAGGTGTCCCCATTGCCTGGGGTCTCGCTCCTCGGGTCCCCCACTTCCGGTTATCACTCCCTCTCAAGGATCCCTTCCCCCGGCCCCCAGGGCCACGGACGGGCTCGCGGGCACTCACCGGCCCGGTTACGGGGCGGAGCGCGGGTCAGTCGGCGGCGGGAGCCTCGTCCGGCAGCACGCGCAGAACGACCCGCACTCCCGGCCGGCCCGGCCCCGCCCCTCGCGCCGGAAGTGACGTGCCAGGGCGTGCGAAGACAGGCAGCGCCGTCAGTGCGCATGTGCATGTCTGGCCGCGGTGTGGTCTTTGGCTCCACCTGGCGGCCGGAATCCGCGCGGTGGGACAGGAGCCAGGGGGAGGCTGGCTGGGAGGAGGGGGAATGCCAGCAAGTTTAGGTGGGAGAGCTGGGGAAACTGAGGCCCAAAGAAGGAAGGAAGAAGCTGCCGTTTCCCGAGAACATAGCTACCGTGCGCCTGGTGTGTTACGTTTATTGTCTCATTAAATCCTCATATTTATGGAAACTTTCATGAAAGGGAAACTGGCAATCAATGGAGTAAATGGCTTTAAACCTAGATTTCAGGATTAGCATTCCAGGATTCTTTTCTGCTTTGGGGTTCATGAAGTCCCCTTTATGAGAGTGGTAAATTAAATAAGGTTCTACTAGGCCTCAACCCCTGTCCATTAAATTCCCCGGGCCCACCAACATAGCTACGACTTTGAGAGAAATCTAGGTCCCTCTATCAGGCAGAGTAAAGGCGCTAAACCATTTCTGGAGAGAGACCTGCTGTAGCCCGGGAGGACTCAAAACCCAAAGGAGTACCCAAGAGATGACCTCATTCCTTCCTTTCCCAACCCCAGGGGCAAGAGGGCCAGGGAGATGCTAGATTGTGTGGAAATCAGCAATTACAGAATCTTTCAATTTTATCTCCTGTGTGAAAGAAAGAAGCTGCAGATGTAATACAGAAGTTAATTAAAAGCCCCCAAATGCTGTATTTGCATTGGAAATATCAGTATGAATTCAAGAGATGTTTTATTTTTGGAAAGAAATGTATACTAGTATGTATGAATACATCATACACATATACACATGTATACATTAACATATATATTCTGTATATATAACATACCTAGAAAGGCCTAGAAACAATGACTAATCTAGTAGCAAAGAGCATATCCAACACTCAGATTTTAGTCTTGAAATGCTATTTTCTATTTAAAAACATAAAGGGACCTCTCAGAGAAATTGCTGATTACAGATACTGTGTACAAGAGGAGCCTGGAATGTCTTGTCATACTTGATAACAAAGAAGCTATCAAAGGCACTAGGGTCACATCAAAAGGACTTGGAAACCAACCTGAAGATGAGATCATTTCAGCTGCAACAAAGATCATTGCAATTGATTGAAACTCATCAAATATGTTTCAATCCCTGAGTTCATAAAACCAGCAAAAAAAGAGTTAATGTTCAGCAAAAATACTAATTGATCACTTTCTGAGGATGGCATAGAAACAAATTGTATTCTTAAAAACTAGGTAAATAAAAGGAAAGAATCAATTACTCCACTTTTTTAAAAAAGCCTTCATTGATTTCAGAGAGAGGAAGGGAGAGGGAGAGACAGCAACATCAATGATGAGAGAGAATCATTGATCAGCTGCCCCCTGCACGCTCTCCACAGGGGATCAAGCCTGCAACCTGGGCATGTACCCTGACCAGAATTGAACCGTGACCTTCTGGTTCATAGGTCAATGTTCAACCACTGAGCCACACCGGCTGGGCAAGTATTCCACTTTTTATATATTAATTATACCACTGGGTAACCAAATAATAGGTTAAGAAAAACAACTTCTTGTAAAATTATTATAGCTAACTGCCTTGGCTGGGTGTCTCAGTTGGTTGGAGTGTCGTCACATACACCAAAAGTTTTGATTCCTGGTCGGGGCACATTCCTAGGTTGCAGGTTCCATTCCCAGTCAGGGCACATACAGAAGGCAACCAATCGATGTTTCTCTTTTACATCAATGTTTCTCTCTCTCTTCCTCCCTCCCTTCCCCTCTCTCTAAAAAAACACACAAAAAAACAAAAACAACAACAACAATAAAAACATGTCATCAGTTAAGGATTACAAAAATTATTACAGTTAATAAGTGAAAACAAAATGATTGCCATTTTGCAGCCTGCTATAAAATCATGTACCTAGCTAAAGAAAAAGAGAGAGAGAGAGAGAGAGAGAGAGTCCAGCCATGTACATGATTCTTGATGAAAGAACCCAGAACCACCTGCTATCATGCCAAAGGAATGAAACCTGGGTCTGACCCAGCTGCTAATTTACAGGAAATGCAGAAGTCAAAGGGCCAAGCTGAACTGTACAATGAGGATGCAATTGACAAAATCCAGACTTTGAGAAACTATACAGACCAAGCAGCCTGAGTTCTTCAACAGATAAACTGCAAGGAAAAGAAAGAGATAGAGGGAGGACCTGTGCATTGAAAGAGGCATAAAAGACATATTAAGTTTTTTTAAATGGGCAAAACTAAGCTTGAATGTCTAGGGGTGCACACTCAGATGATTCAACCACAGAGAATGCAAGGAAATAATTACCATAAAAGTCAGGGTGGTCGTTCCTTTCAGGGGAAGGGCTGTGACTGGGACATGGAGGGACTCATGGGGGGCTGGCAAAATTCTATTTCTTGACCTGGGTGGTGATGACAAAGGTGTATGCCTTGAAATGACTCCCTGAGCCACAAATTTAATTTGTATGATTTTCTGCATCAGTGGTTTGTTTTACAATATAAAGGTTTTTAAAAACGAAAACAGAAATATTCCACTCTGTGTGTGTTTGTGTGTGTGCACATATACATACTAGTATATGTATATATAGCTTCTGGGAGTACTAGGTTCATAACAGGCACTCACTAAATACGACTCCCCTTCCCTGTTAATAATGTGAAAAACCCTTACCTGTGTGATTTCACTGCCTTGTGTGACTAATTAAAAATAGTTGATGTTTATTAAGTGATTGTTATGTGCCAGGACTGTTCCCAGTGCATGTCGTCTAACTGAATTTTCACAACCTTGTTATTTTTATTCCCATTTTACAGAGAAGAAAATTGAGGCTCAAAGAGGTTATCTGTGGCCACACAGAAAGTGGTAGAGCAGTCAGATTTTAAACCCAGGCAGTCTGGCCCCCTGGCCCATACTCTCATCCCGTGTGTGTGTGTGTGTGTGTGTGTGTGTGTGTGTGTGTACCTACCTTACTTGTTTTTTAAATTTGGTGTCCAGTGCCCCTTTTTGTACAAATAATAACTCCCCCTATGGAGTGTCTGCCAATGTGTGTGCCACCTCTTACCATGCCACAGCGTGGATCATGGAGGTACTTGTTAGTCTGCATTTGATAGATGAGAAAACTGGAACTCACAGAGATGAAGAACTTGCCCAGTTACAAGGTTAACAAATGGAAGCATTGGGCGTTTGAGTTGTGGTGGGGACGGTTCATACTCTTTGGCCCATCAGATTCTAAAGAACAAAATGTTCCTACTCTTAAACAGATGGCCCGCTGATGGATCTGACCCAGTCTGAGGTCATGGGTTGCCCAATCAGTGGTCCGGAGCCTGACTTGGCTTGAGAAGTGTCCAGACGAGGGCTGGGAGAAGTCAAGAGCTTGGCAAGTGCCAGACATGCCTGACCCCAGTTGGAGGGTCGTGTGAAGCTTATGATCCAGGGGCTTGGTGTGCCTCGAGGAGCCAGGGACTCCTATGTGCCAGGCTTTTGTTCAGAAGCCTTAAAGTCAGGGCCTAGAATAGAGCTGTCCACTTTCCATGTGCCCGGGGCCAGCTGCATGGATTTCCCAGAAGAGGTGGGAGCCAAGCCGTGCTTTTCTGGCCACACATTGATTTTCTAACATCACTCAGCATCACAGCTTGGAGATACCATCCATCGTCTCTGTCCCTGGGGGCTCTACACCCCAGCCCGGCTGATGCATTTCAAAACGAGGAGAGGTGGGGACTCCAACCCTCTACCTCACAGGTACCAGCTTAAGAGCCCCCAAGCCCACACTCCATTGTATATTAACATCCAACAGGATCAACTTCTTGCCAAATGCCAGGCACCTTGCTAAGCACTTTGTGTGTATTCACCCAGCTAGCCTCACAGACAGGCTATCGCGGAGGGGCTCCTGTGAGGACCATTGGAGAGGTGAGAAAACAGACCCAGCGAGGCAAAAGCACTCGTAAACAGACACACAGAGATGGCGCTCCAGGTCTGTCATTGTGAAATCACAGGCTGTCCATCGGCAATGCTCTGTCGAGTCACTGTGTCAGCCTTCACGACAACCTGGCTGGATAGTCCGGTCACCTCCATGAAGATATGAGGAAACGGAGGCCCAGGAGGTGGGTGTGACTTGCACAGTGTTACTCGAAACTTCTGCTGTGACAGCCAGTGACTACTTTTCAAGAGCACAGTGACAGCCCACAACTGCTAAAATGTGGCCCACGTCCCTGGATGTATTATCACGCCTTACATTTGCCCACAGCTGTTCTGTGATGGGAAGAAGGGGCAAGGAATCCTTTGGTGATCATCTTCTCAGGCATGATGGGGTCTCCTCTGGGTGGTGGTGACTATTTGGAGAGTTTACCATGTGACCCCTCCATGAGGGCCAAATGGTGTGATGGGGCAGGAGCAGCGAGAGGTGAGGAGAAACAGGATGCCTGGCTATGTGGATGTAGGAGCCAGAGAGTGGGCCTGCTGAGGTCAGCCCACCCTCCAGGTGCCCCCGGGAAAGGCTGCTTGAATGCTTCCCATAGAGCAGCGTGGACAGAAAGCAGCTACAGGGGCCAACTTGGGCCTCATTCTGTGGGGCCTCCTAGAGGGGCAGAGGGGCGGCAGCAAGAAGCTGGAGTTGGATGTCAGATTCCCAAAGATTGGAGAAGGAATTGCAAGGGACCCCCAGGAAGAAGGGTGCATCCATTGAGGTCAAAGGTGAGAAGGACTTGAAGCCATGGCCATCCCCATGAGTCTACAACAGCGTCCCAAGACAGGCAGGGGCGGCTTTCAGTATCTGCTGCGTCCAGAGCCCTTGAGGCCAGCTAGAAGGGTGCTGGCCAAGTGAT